CCTTCAGGGATTCCTATAAGGCAAATATTAGTTTTCTCAAATTATTCCAGAGCTCTCTGAGAGAATGATCCGTTTTTGCTTTCCATTTCTGATTCTCTTTGGACATTTGGACATATTCAAAAGCTTTGTGTTCTACATCTGAGATCTTTTCTTCTGTCTCCTGCACTCTGTTACCAAGAGATTCTACCATACTTTTCAGATCTTTGAGGGCTGCAATCTCTTGTCTTAATGTTTCAAAATCTTTGGTGGTTTTGTCTTTGAATTTGTTGAATTCTTGAGTGAACTTTTAGAATGCTCCTTGCATTTCTACTCCTATCTTTGCCTCTATTCTGTTTATCTTATTTGCAATTCAAATTCTGAATTCAGTTTCTGACATCTTAGCCATTTGTTTATAAAGGGGATCTTCAGTTTCGTCTGCCGCATCTTTTCTTGGGGGGGGTTTGACCTTCCTGGTTATTCACATTACCAGCCACATCCTTTCTTGGGGGGAGGGGTTGATCTACTCTAGTTATTCATATTACCAGAGTTTTTCCACTGATTCTGCCCCATGATTATTTTACCCCATTTGACTTTTCCCCTTGAAGTTTGTCAAGGACCCGTATGGTGTTACAGCCTGAGAGACTAGGGACCTGCTTGATGTGGTGGGCTAAGTGGCTCTGTCTTATTTTCAGCTGGTCTCTGTTCTACCCTAGTGATTCAGTTACTCTTGGTTGAAGTCTCTGCTGTGGAGAAATACCAGCAATTAATTCTCCCCACCACCCACAAACAATTGGCCAAGGAAAATCAAACCTTCCCTCAACCATACACCCAGGGTGCCCCTTTAAATAGTCTCCGGGTGTTCTGCCAGGTTTAAGGGGTCCAAATCAGTTGTCCCAGTTGGGACATTTCAGGTGGAAAAGTTCAAATGTCTCCGGCAGCTAGATAAGAGAGGTCTGCTCTCTGCTCAGATATAACTTGCTCCAGCGCTCCATGACAGCAAAGGGACCCACCCAGCAAATGGTTTAGTCTGGGAAGGTTAATACCTCCTTCCCCACCTTGCACCCAGGCATTCATACATAATCCCGCAGGTCTGTGACTCTATTCACTCCAGTAGGCAACTGCTCCCATGGTTTACAACTGGCAAAATCATCCAGAAATCTGAGTTCAGCAGGGGGTCTTGCATGTTTGAATTAGGCTTCTGTCCGGCTAGATTTCTCTGCAAGTCAGAGGCTGCATTCAGCTCTGGGCAGCAGACAAGTAGCAGTTTACACTCAGGTGTCAATTCCAGCCTCTGCCTGCCCACTGCCTTTGTCTCAGCTGTATTACCCTGAGGGCTGGTGCTAAGGGTCTCTTTACTTACTAAAGTTATCAGCGCTCTGCCTGTGGCTACTGTCCAGAACCTCTGGTTGCCCAGAGAGACAGGGCTGTAATGGCATCAGTTCGCAGCACAGGATGCCACTGTTGGTATATGGCTTCCTCTGAGCCAATTTTCTTCTCCTCACACCTGTGCCACAGTCAACACAGAGCAGCACCAACCCTTTCCCCCTCCACTTCTCTCAAGGAGATGCCCAAGAATCTGGACTCCGTAGGTAACAAACCTCCAGACCTTGGAGTGCATGGGTGGGGACTCCTTGGAGTTCAATGTTGCAGGTGGGGAATATCTACAGTTTTATACAGTTTTATGCCTGGCAGGAGGGTGCCGTGGCATGCCAGCAGGGGTAGGGGTTTTAGGGGTCTCTCCCATGGGATAGATTGGGAAGAAGTTTGAACTCTGCTCGTTTGTTTGCATGGAGTAAACTATGAGCCATTGTTGTGGGGGAGGGGACTCCCATCTGCTTGGTGGTGGGTTTTGTACCTTTTGCTTGTATTTTTGGGGTCACAGCTCACCTCAGGAAGGTTGAAGTGAGCTCTTCAATCTTCTCTCTCAGCTCTGCTCCAAACCATCAGCTCCCTTGCTAAACTTCTATCCTTTAAGCCTCCTTCTGGACAGGAGCTTCTATAAGAAGCTGGCTGCAGTCCACCATCTTGGCTCTGCCCCTGCACAGGAGTGCTCTTAGGGAACAGTGTCAGTCAAGGTGCCAGGGATTACCCCTATGGGATGCTACACCTGGTGTGGGGAAGCCCCCAGAGCCCGTCCCATTCTGCCTGCTTACTTTCCTGGTCAAGGAAGCAAAAATGTTGCAGGAAAACAGCAAATTAAAACAGACTTACACCAACAATATAGAGGAAGGAATCTTTAATTGTCCGTCCCCCTACCCTTAGAACTCAGGGTGCCTCAAATGCTGAGTTCCAAGGAATAGTTTTTTCCCAGGCTCTTTTATACCTTTTTTTGTCTTCAGTTCACTACCAGCTATGTAGTTACTGCTACAGATGTTAGAAACCAAAGTGTTATTTTTTCTTTTGCTTTTCAAGGTTATTTAAACTCAGTGTAAAGTTTGTTCTTTACACTTAGAGGAGGAGTTCTTCTGCAGCTGCCTATTGCTTTCCCAAGATCACTAAGAAGTATAAGATTTATTTCTCTTTCCTAAGTTGTTTTAGCAAAGCAGGCATACTCAGAAGTGGAGGGACATTAAGCCTACTTGAACACTCCTTGGGTATCTGGGAACCAGAATGCTTCTCCCTGACATGGTCAGTGATTGCACTTAGGGAATCAGGGGACATACCCACAGATCTGGAAAAGCCAGATACTCTAGTCCTGGGGCTTGATCTTGTTGCTCAGGGGCACAGAGGGAAAATTTATAAACTAATATTGAGAGGTGAGGGAGCCCACACAGGCAGAACTAAAAGGAGAGTATGATGTGGGTACAAAACTCAGTGCACTAGTGGAACACCCCACTCCCCATTGGAAAGCTGTGTTTTCAGTCCTGAGCAGGAACCTGGGCAGGTAAGCTCCCAGCCTATGGTGCCATTGCTGGTGAGCTCAGTTAGTTTGGGCTGTTGCTTGTTCCCAGATGCTGAAAGGAAAGCCAGAGAAAAAGAAGGGGGAAAAGAGCAAAACCTACTCCCCAGACCTACCAGACTGTGAATCCCAGGTTGTCCTCCCCCACAGGCAGACTCTGACTACCCAGCCCCTCCCAGTGGCTTTCTCCAGAGCCTGGGAGCTGATATTTGACCTTTGCTGAGAAAGCTCTTCTGCCTGCTGAAACACTGAAGCCAGCCCACCCAGACTCACTCCTTCACCTATTTCTGTTGTGGTGGAGAATACAGTGACACTGGGTAGGTCCTAGGCCCCACCTACTACCCAGGGGCATCAGAGTGGAAGTGCTTCTGTGATCTACTTGAGCTGATCATAGGCCTCAAATAATACCACTGCAGGCCTGGCAAGGTGGTTCACGCCTGTAATCCTAGCAATCTGGGAGGCTGAGGCAGGTGGATCCCTTGAACTCAGGAGTTCAAGACCAGCCAAAGCAAGAGCAAGACCCCCTCTAATAAAAATAGAAAAACTAGCTGGGTGTTGTAGTGACTGCCTATAGTGCCAGCTATTGGGCAAGGCTGAGGCAAGAGGATCACTTGAGCCCAAGAGTTTGAACACCCAAATACTCTACCTAGGGCAACAGAGTGAAAGAGTGGCCCCTACTCCTACCCCCCCCCAAAAAAAACACTACCACTGGCTCTTTCCAGAGAAAATCCTAAAGAATATATAAAGCCTACACATGCAGACACACACTATTAAAGAAAATGAATGAGTATGTTGAAGTTGCAGGATACAAGATCAAAACACAAAAAATTAATTGTATTACTATATACTATCAATGAAACATCAAAACTTAAATTAAGAAAACCACTCTATTTATAACAAAATCCATTTTTAATCTCATTTTAAAATGTATTATCCAGATAATTTATCTAATTTAGTACTGTAGATTTGATACTAAATGTCTCTTTTTCTCTCAAAAAATAAAAGTTTGCCTTCGAGGTGTAAGATTTACTACCCCAAAGACTTTCTGGCCCTCACAGCTGGCAGTTCCTATTAAAAAGTTCAAAAGTATTTACGTAGGATAATAAAATAAATATGAATATTACTTTCCAAAATGACAACTAGGAAAGTCATACCCCTCAAAACTGAGCTAGGGACTCAGTGTGTTTATTCACTCCTATCACATTACATCATGGTCACACCTTGTATTTTAAGTCAACAATGAAACCATTCAGCTAAAATAACTCAATATTTTTGTATTTTACTTACTCCTAACCTGCCATCTAATCCTTAATAGGAAAAAAATAACACCACTTCTCAGACTATTAGAAAACTGCCAAATCTGTTTTTAAATTTTCATGTTCTTTTTATTTCTTTTCCCATAAGAAATATAAATTAGGCTCAGCAGCTGTAGACCAGCAGCTAGGGAACCAGCCACATACACTGGAGCTGGCGAGTTTGAATCTAGCCTGGGCCTGCCAAACAACACTGCAACCAAAAAATAGCCTGGTTGTTGTGGCAGGTCCCTGTAGTCCCAGCTATTTGGGAGGCTGAGGCAAGGAATTGCTTAAGCCCAAGACCTTGAGGTTGCTATAGTGAGACTCTGTCTCAAAAAAAAAAAAAAAAAGAAAGAAAGAAAGAAAGAAAAAGAAATATAAATTAGATGGCTAATTAACTATTCCAGTTTGAAAGGCCTTCCCTAGAAACTGGTTTTCTCATAATTTTGAACTGATCAGGCACTGGAGCCCTTACCCATATCGTCTTATTTAATCCTCACAACAAAGCTATGTAGAAGGTACATTTTGAAAGTTCCTATTTTCTAGATAAGGAAATTGAGGTTCAGAGAAGTAAAGAATTTAGTATTCTCGGGGCCAAAAAGAGACAGAGTGGAGAACCATACCCAGATCTTTCCACCCCTGACATCCTCACAAAGTCCACTAAACCACCCTGGCTCTTGGATGGCCTAGTGTCTAAGTACATAACTGAGCAGTTCGCAGGCATGTTAAATGGAGAGAGTAGTCTTGAGTTTTAGATCTCGTGGCGTTTTGAGAACAGTACAAATGGTTTATAAGAAAAAGCCCTTTAACAATTTACCTCATTTCAGATTGTGGATGAAAACTCAAATACACTGCCTGTCGGAGAAGAAGGAAATATTGCAACCCGTATAACACGAAACCAGCCTGCCTCTGTGTACTGTCCACACATGGTAAGGGGAATTTTATTTTTTTTCTAAATACAAGATGGCCATAAAGTTCATGAAATTGCACATGAACTTTATGGTTACCCTGTACTTTCATGGTTACTAGTAAACATACAGGGTACTTTATGATTCTCCAAATACTTTGGCCTCAACTTTTAATTTTGCAAACTTTCAAATCTACAAAAATGATGAAATAATAGTGCAATGAACACCTATGTGTATATCTATTACAGGTGTTCAGCTATTTTTAAGCTCTTGCCTTAACTTTGTATTTGTACATTTTTGATGAAGTTTGGGAGTAACCGCAGAGATCATGATATGTTACCCTAAGATTTCAGCGTGACTCGCCTAAGAATAATAACATCCTTAATCATCAACATCATCACTGCTAAGAAAATTAAAAATAACTCTTTACTATTACCTAGTATATAGTCTATATTTATACTTTCTCAATTGTACTCAAATGTGTTTTAGAGCCTTTGAAAATCCAAAATTCAACCAAGGTTCATCCATTCATTCAGGTTCTCATACCTCTTTAACTGTTTTTATCTAAAATTAGATAAAAACCACCATTTTTTATTTTTCATGACTTAGACATTTTTGAAGAGTAGAGACTTGTTATGTTTGCCTAGATTTATTGCTATTATTTCCTTATGAGATTCAAGATAGACATTTTTTGCAAGAATATTACATAGGTGGTACATATTTCTTGTTTTCTTATATCAGGAAATACTGTATTGTCTAACCTTGCGTGCCAATAATTTTGATCCTTTGGTTCAGGGGGTAGCTGCCATTTCTCTTCATTACACAGGTATATTTTCCCCCTTTTTAATTAGTAAATAATCTTTGGTGAAACAATTTGAGACTCTATTACTATTCTATTCTCTAATCAACTTTGACATGACGAATTTAGCATCCACAGATGATTCTTTTCTGAATCAATTATTAAAGTGGGGGTACAAAATGGTGATGTTCACACTGCTATTTGTTTTTTTGTTTTGTTTTAAGATAGAGTCTCAAGCTGTCGCCCTGGGTAGAGTGCCGTGGTGGCACAACTCACAGCAAACTCAGCCTCTTGGGCTTAAGCAATTCTCTTGCCTCAGCCTCCCAAGTAGCTGGGACTACAGGCACCCATCACAATGCCTGGCTTTTTTTTTGCAGTTGTTATCATTGTTTGGCAGGCCCAGGCTGGATTTGGATCTGCCAGCTCTGGTGTTTGTGGCTGGTGCCCCAGCTGCTTGAGCTACAGGCACCAAGCCTCAAACTACTATTTGTGGTACATCAATTAAGTTGCACTATTCTATGGAAAAGGGATGTCCAGGGGTGGCGCCTGTGGCTCAAAGGAGTAGGGTTCTGGCCCCTTATGCCAGAAGTGGTGGGTTCAAACCCAGACCCAGCAAAAACTGCACAAAAAAAAAAAAAAAAGAGCTGCCATTTTATTTTATTTATTTATTTATTTATTGGAGATAGAGTCTCATTCTGTCTTCCCAAGGTAGAAGAGGTAGAATGCCATGGCATCATAGCTCACAGCAACCTCAAACTCTTGGGCTGGAGTGATCTTGTCTCAGCCTCTTGAGTAACTGGGACTATAAGTACCTACCACAATGCTCAGCTAGTTTTTCTATATTTAGTAGAGATGGTGTCTCACTCTTGCTCAGGCTGGGATCAAACTTCTAAGCTCAGGCTATCCACCTGCCTCAGCCTCCCAGAGTGCTAGGTTTATAGGCTTGAGCCACCGTGCCCAACTAGGACTGTCCATTTTTTTTTTCTATAAAAGAAATCTTTCTTTTACTTATTTTTAAAATATATTTTTTATTTATTTGGTCTTTTCTAATAATAAAACTGACTTATGTTCAATATAGAAAACTTTGAAAAATATAGAAAAAGACCAAAGAAGAAAATTCTTTTTTTTTTGAGACAGAGTCTCACATTGTGACCCTTAGTAGTGTTGTGGTATCACAGCTCATAGCAACCTGAAACTCTTGAGCTCAAGTAATTCTCTTGTCTCAGCCTCCAGAGTAGCTGGGACTACAGTAACCTGCCACAACGTCTGACTATTTTTAGAGACAAGGTCTCACTCTTGCTTAGGCTGGTCTCGAACCTGTGAGCTCAGGCAATCCACCCACCTCAGCCTCCCAAAGTGCTAGGATTACAGGTGTGAGCCACTGCACCCAGCCTAAAGAAGAAAATTCTTTTCCCTTGTAATGCCACTATTATTATCAACTGTTAACATTTGGAGGGCGTATACCTTTATCATTCTTATGCATATATATATATATATATATAATTTTATAAAATTGAGATTACATTCTGTCTGCTTTTTTAAACTTCTGATCTTCAGATATTAGTATATCATCTTATATGATAGCATTTTTAATTTCACAGTGTCTATCAAATGGAAGTATTATGATCCTTTTAACATATCCACTATTGTTAGAAATTTGGATTATTTCCAGTGTTTTATGTTGTAAATACTGCTTCAGCATCCTTATTAAGTCCTTAAAGACCTCTTTGAGAATTTCTTAAAGAGTTTTTGAGTTAGGGCCTAGACAAAAAAAAATTAATATTTTAATGTTAAAAATTTCTAGAGAGAGAATAATGCTTACAACCTAAATACACTGAGATTTAAAAATCTCAACTTAGCACCCATAGCACAGTGGTTATGGCACCAGCCAGGTACACAGATGGTATCGGGTTCAAACCCACCCTGGGCCAGCTAAACAATGACATCTGCAACAAAAAATATCTGGGCATTGTGACAGCACCTGCAGTCCTAGCTACTTGGAAGGCTGAGGCAAGAGAATTGCTTGAGCCTAAGAGTTTGAGGTTGCTGTGAGCGGTGACACCACAGCACTCTACCAAGGGCCACATAATGAGACTCTGTCTCAAAAAAAAAATTCACCCATAAGATGGAGATTCCACAGAAGAGATACAGATATCTTATATACTTATTGGGATTATTGGGCTATTTGAGAATGAGTTGCTTACACAGTATTTTACTAAAATTCATTAGAACTTTATCAAGCAGATAGCTCATTAGATCTAAGAATTTGAACAAACCTTTCATGTAGTTTCTATGGCAGTTAAAGTCAAATACTGTTAGAATCTGCAGACATTCAAATGACTAAGCAAAATAGGCCAGCTTCAGGCAAAGAGGCTTTTGTACTAATCACGTTCGTATGTTTCCAGTGTAAGAACTTTAAACTAAAGTTAAATGTCAGTCATGGAATGTTAGTCATGGGCAATGTGAAAATAAAAGGCACAATTCAAAGACAGGGAGCCCTGATTGCATTTGATGGATGATGAGCCTAAGAAAATAGTAGTGAGCTTCTCTCATACATGCTGGACCCGGCCCTATGCTAAATGCTATGCTTGGATTGCCTCAGAGCAAACCTCTGAGTAAAGTACCATCTTTATGCCTGTTTCCATCTGGATGAGGCAGGGAGGAACTGAGATTAAGAGAGATGACCAAGCAAAGATCACTGTGTGTTTTGCGAGTTATCTACATGGGGAGTTCCTGGGGTGTGAGCATCTTATAGTATTTTTTCCCCATCTCCCTTTGAGGCTAGCCACAGTGCTCAGTTCATGCCATTAAATGATTATGGAAGTGAAGTAAAGCTAGGTTTCTGAATTTGTTATTCTATCAGGTGAGCTGGGAGGAATATGCTTCAGCAAGTAGCCACATGTTTTACCTCACAGGGGACCGAGGGATCATGGATGAAGATGGCTACTTTTGGCTGACTAGTAGAGCTGATGGTGTTGCTGATGCACTGGGTCAGAGGTGGTGAATGCCATGGTTACTGCTACTGAGCCAGGGGGGTGCAAGAGTTTGAAGAAGAGTCTGGACTGCCTCAGATACATTGGCATTATAGAAAATTTTTAAAATACAAAAAGAAGAATAAAAAATAAAACTTATGCACAGTCTCATATTGGAGTATACTCTCTAGTCTCCTTTTCTTTTTAAATATAAACATTTTCTTTTCAGTAGAAGGGAGTTCAGGAGAAATGCTGTAGCATAAGTTACATTTTCACTCAACAATATAATATAAATATTTTTCTCTGTAATTAATTATACTTATGTAAATTCATTTTTAAATTTTAATTGAGTTTATAATGTTTAATAATCTTATACTAACAGGTCAATGAATTTTTACACACATATACACCCCTGGAGCCTTCTAGATCAAGATATAGGATACTTCCAGCATCCTGAGCTCTCTTATCTCCTCATACCTCTGTGAAACTGTACTTCTTTTGTAAACATTGAACTGAATTTCTATGCCTAAAGAGAGTTTCAGGAACTGAGAAAAGCAGAAGTGATCAATTCCAAGTAAAAGATGGATGTAGGCAGATTCCTTGAGCCATCCTGATTCAAAGCTTGCTGACCACAAAAATCACAGGAATGTTGAAAAATAAAAATCAAACATCTAGGCTCTAGGAAGACTTACTGATACTAGATGCCATTCCTTCCAGGAGCTGAGTCAGCAAACTTGCTTTCCCACTTTTTTCCCACCCTAATCCTTGACACAATTAAAAAATCCCAGGAAAATTTTACTCAAGAAGTGACTCTCGGCTCGGCGCCTATAGCTCAACAGGCTAAGGTGCCAACCATGTACACCAAAGGTGGCGGGTTCAAATCCCCAGCCCGGACCCGCCAAACAACAATGACAGCTGCAACCAAAAAATAGCCGGGCGTTGTGGTGGGCGCCTGTGGTCCCAGCTACTTGGGAGGCGGAGGCAAGAGACTCACTTGAGCCCAGGAGTTGGAGGTCACTGTGAGCTGTAATGCCACGGCACTCTACCCAGGGGGACAGCTTGAGGCTCTGACTCAAAAAAAAAAAAAAAAGAAGTGACTCTCCTTTGTGTGCTCCCTATTACATAGCAGTGAATGAAGTACTTGCCTTAGCCTCTAACTGGTCTCAATTTTTACTTTGAGCATGACCCCCAATCCAGAAATGATCAATATTCTGACTTCTAAACCATGGATTCATTTTGTCTTTTCCTAAACTCCATATAAATAGAATCATACAGTATGCACTCCTTTGTGTCTGTGTTCTTTCTCACAAAATAATGACTAGGAGATTCAGCTATGTTGCTACACGTATCAATAGTCCATTTTTTCTAATTGCTATGCAGTGCTATGGCCTGAAACACTGTGGACCTGCTTGGTGTGGTGGGGCTAAGTGGCTCTGTCTTGTTTTCAGCTGGTCTCTGTTCACTCCTAGTGAATCAGTAACTTTGGGTAAAGTCTCAGCCGTGGAGAAATACCAGCGACTAAATCCCACCACCCCCCAAGGGCAACAACTAGAAAAGGAAAATCAAACCTCCCCACAACTGCATACCCAAGATATCACTTTGGATAGTCTTTAAGTGATTGGCCCTCTTGACCCTCCTCAGGTCAAGAGTTCCAAATCAATTGTCCCAGTCAGCACCCAGTCTCAAGTGAGAGAGTTCAAAAGGTCTCCAGCAATTAGAAAGAAAGAGTCTGCTGGGAACTCAAGTAAGACTCTCTCCAGTGCTCTGTGGAGTGAGAAGGACCCACCCAGCGAATAAATTAGTCCAGGAAGGTTGATGACTCCTTCCCCACCTTACACCTCTGTCACACTCAGTCACTGGTAACCCCTCAGGGCTGTGACCCAGTTCCCTCCAACAAGCAGATGTTCCAGGGGGTTGTGCCTGCCTGAGTGACAGGGAGATCTATGTCTCCTTGGCTAGACCACCACACTCTGCCACCAGCCGTCAGGGGGAGCTGAAACCTGAAAACCCTAGGTGCTTAATGGGAGCTGGGGCAGTTCACTCAATTCCAGCCCCACCCCAGATTGATGTTGCTGCCACTTATATTCTGGCAGAATTACTGATTCTGTCCCAGCTATACTCCCCTGTGGGCCAGGCTCTGTTGGAGTTCATAGAAACTGTGGCTCAGCCCTGCAATGTACCACTACTGTTGTGGGGTAGAACCCCACAACTGTGAGCTCCCTCACAAACTGTGTGCTCACTCTAAGCACCAGAGGCAGGTGGACAGACTTCTGTGGAAGGCAACTCTGTCAATGACCCGGTATCCCTAGTCAGCATGGAATAGGGCCTGGGGATTAGGGCATAAAAATCCATCTCCAGTGACTTTGGCCATGTGGCTGTTAAGCCTGCAAAGAAGGGGTTAAAAACCTTTCTGCAGAGACACAGCCTAGGGGTTGACAAGACTCATTTATCCTAAAACTTGGTAGGCCTCCAGATTGCCTTGAAGCAGAAGCCGTAAATCTGCTTTCTGTAACACAATGAGTGCATAGTATAACTTCAAGGTTTTACTCCCCTCTTGGTAATCTCAAGTCTCTAGATGTGCTCCCTTTTGCAGCTGCCTCAAGTTTTCAAACTTTGTGTCTCTTTGAAGATTGAACTAACTTTTAAAAAGATTAGTAGTATGTATACTTTACTTGTTAATTAATAGTGTGTATGTAACCAGCTGACTATAAAAGGTGGTCTTGAACAATAAAGCTTTGCTACTTGCCATCAGCAGGTAGTCTGTCTCTTTCACTATAATAATTCCAGATGTGAGACTACACCTGTGGTGATGCTGTCTGTCTCTCGCTAAACCCCAACACAATAACTGTTGTCCCAATTCTCAAGGAGCTGGCATCTCTGTCATGGCTACACTCTGTGCTGGGGCGGGCATGATTAGAGCTCACGCTCAGCTCTCAATTCTTGCCTCTCCCTAGGATGGTGCAGTTGCCCCACCTGCTTTTGTCTCAGCTATGTTCCCCTAGGGGTCAGGTTCTTCTTAGGCTCACTAAAGCAGCACTTCTGACTCAGCCCCACCCTGGGAGTACGCCATGTCTGCACTCACGTATTCTAGTCTCCATCCCCGCTGTGCCTCGCCCAGGCAGGTACCTTCTCAGGCATACCCTTTACTCACAGGATCTGCATTTCCATCCCAGATCTGTTCCACCAGTGGCTGCCACTGGTTGCCAAGAGAGGTGGGCAGTGTCTTTCCAAAATATCCCCAGAGGTGTAAGCCCTATTGTTCTCACCACTGCCACTGTTGCTCTGTGCCACAGGTCACTGCTTCTCTCTCTCCCTCTTGGTCCACAGTCCTCTTTTTACCCCATGTCACTGCTTCTCTCTCTCCCTCTTGGTCCACAGTCCTCTTTTTACCCCATGTCACAGAATCAGCACAGACCTGTAATAGCCCACACCTTGTCTACACCTCTCAAGAAAATGGCCCAGAATCTAGACTCCATGAGGGACAGGCTTCCAGACCTTGGGGTGAGAGTGGAGGGGAGTGCTGGGAGTTCAGAACTGCAGGTAGAAAATTTGTATAAGTTTTATGCCTGGCAGGAGAGTGCCACTAGTGTTAGTGTGTCCTCTCTGGGGATGGAGTTCTGGATTTTAGTGGGTCCCTCCCGTGGGATAAAATAGGAGGCTATCAGAACTCTGCTCACTTGTTTGTAGAAAGTATACTGCAAGCCATTCACATGGGGGGAGGGGACTCCCATCCACTTGGCAATGGATTTTGTACCTATTGTTTGTTTCACTGGGGTCATAGCTTGCGTCAGCAGAGTTGATGTCCATTCTTCAACCTTCTCTCTGGGCTCAGCTCCAAACATCAGCTTACTGGCTAAACTTCTGTCCTTTAACTCTCCTTCTGGACAGAAGCCTTTGTGGAAAGCTGGCTCCAATCGGCCATCTTGCCTTAACCCTCTCTGATTTGGAACTCTTGACCTAGGCCAATCACCACAGGACTATCCAAAGTGATACTCTGGGTGTGTGGTTGTGGGAAGGTTTGATTTTTCTTTTCCAGTTGTTGCCTGTGGTGGGGGGTGCAGTGGGACTTAGTTGCTGGTATTTCTCCATAGGTGAGACTTCAACCCAGAGTTACTGATTCACTAGGAGTGGACACAGACCAGCTGAAAACAAGACAGAGCCACTTAGCTCCACCACACCAAGCAAGTCCCCAGTGTCTCAGGCTGTAGCACTGTACGGGTCCTGTACAAAGCTCTAGGGGGAAAGGTACAGACACCAGTCCAAGCTCTTGGGCAAAGGGCTAGTTAATCACTACTCCAGGAGCCCCCAACCCAACTTCACCTTATGTGTTCATCTAGCCAAATGGTATACAATAATTATGGGATGCAATCAGTGGAAAAACTCCAGCAACATGAATAATCAGAGTAGATCAATTCCCCCAAGGGATGACATGGCAGACACACCAGAAGATCCCATATATAAACAAATGGCTGGGATGTCAGAAATATAATTCAGAATTTGGATTTCAAATAAGATTAATAGAATGGAGGTAAAGTTGGAATTAGATATTCAAGAATAATTTCAAAAGTTGTCTCAAGAATTCAATGAATTCAAAAACAAAATCACCAAATATTTTGACACACTGAGATAAGAATTAACAGCCCTCTAAGATATGAGAAATATAGTAGAATTCCTCAGTAACAGAATGGAGCAAGCAGAAGAAAGGATTTCTGACATTGAAAACAAAGCTTTTGAATGCTGCCAAACACTCAAAGAGGAAGAGAAGTGGAGAGCAAAAATGGATCATTCTCTCAGAGAGCTCTGAGATAATTCAAAGAATACTAATATTCACCTTACAAGAATTTCTGAAGGCAACGAGGTTGTTACAAAAAGCACAGATGCTCTACTCCATTCCAGTCATAACAAGAGATTCTGAAATTCAGATAGCAGACAGTTTCAGAATCCCAGCACAACTCAACCCAAATAAGACATCTTCCAGCACATTATAATTAACTTTGTCAAAGTTAATATGAAGGAGAAAATTCTGAAAGCAGCCAGATGTAACAAAACCATAACCTGCAAGGGGAAGAATATTAGAATGACTGTAGATCACTCTTCTGAAACCTTTCAAGCTACAAGAGGGTGGTCATCAACTTTTAATCTCCTAAAACAAAATAACTTTCAACCCAGGA